TATTTATTATGATTAATAATACAGAAATGACTTTAAAATAAAATCTCTTAACAGCAGAGCAAGTTACGTAATTTGTTGCTAGATTTCTTATTCCAGAGTTGGCAGGATAGAGGTTACTTGTAGGCTACCGAAGGCCATATGATATATTCATTTAATCTATGTGAGAGGGCAACATAACTTACTGCATAATATGCATAACAATCCATTGAGTGTTTTTTGGGTAAAAGTCTCGTCATATATGCCGTAACATACAGTATTTAACAATTTCAATTATAAAATACGATATTAAAACCANACCGAACAAAGTCAAACGTTTCCATTGATTCGAAGGTAAAAGTAAACGATATGTACACATTAGCAGATGCAGTGCCAGCAATTCAAAGATTTCTCCTATAGCGTGATGTAAAAATCAATGATTAATTCGAACAGTTATATCTTGATTTATTACCGTAAAAACCGGTTGAAAACAGTTTAGAACAATTTAAAAGGTAATAATTTTATGTGATTTGGAAATAATTTGATGCCAAACCAAACAGAAGACTTTATTATAGAGACAATTATTTATAATTACACTTATATCATTCAACAAACTATTTTCGTACGAAAATTTACAAATTCTAGAACAAAAACTAAAGCATTGCAGAGAACGTCTTCTTATATGACTTTAATTGAATCAAATTTTTTCGCAACCGTCTCAGGTTTTTGAGTTCTCCCCAATGCATTTTCATCATAAATCTTCACTATCCTAGAAGCGACAAACAATACTTAACGACATTTATTCAAGTTTGCAATTTCCTATTAATAATTCCACTTACAGTTTCGTAAAACATTTCGTTTAATGCAATTTTTATCTGCAAACTTTCGTTCTTCGCAAAGAATTTTATAAAGATTTCTTCTGTTTTGTGTATGAAAATTTCGTCTTTTCGTGTTTTTCACGTTCAACGGACTTCCGTTGAATTTAGACGACGTCACAAACAATGGGCACAATTTGAGAAAATTCAAATTCCAGTAATAACACAATTCCGGAGAGTCTAAGTTCCAGGGATGACACAAATTGGGAGTTAAATTTCAGCACAGACACAAGCCGGAAAAGTCCAAATTCGAGTGCAGACACGTTTTAGGAGTCAAATTTGGGGTAGACGTAATTCGGGAGAGTCCAAATTCGTGTAGACCAATTTGGAAAAGTGATAATTCACTAAAAAAACAATAGTAATGAGGCACAGCCGGGACAAAGTCAAAATTGAGAAGTCATAATCCAAATTGGTATTGACGTAATCGGAATGTCAAAATCAGGAGAAGGATTCAGGTCATCGATGATTTTTAGAAAAAAAAACATATCTAAAAAGTAAGTGAATGAAAAATCAAAACAGTATTTTAATTTTTACTTACAAATTGAAAATTATTTTTGTAATTTTAAAACTTTACTTTTTAGGAAAATTTTAGATTTTATTTATTAATTTTTAAACTATATGATATTTTTCTGTTATTTTTTGAACATTTTTAAATGTACAACGAACGACGAAAACAAATAAATATTAAATGAAGAACAATTTAAGAATAAATACGATTATTAAAGGAAAATACAATAAAAAACGAATAAATAACAAAGAAAAATAAAGAAAAGAACTATGTACAGAATATAGAGATGAAAATCTCTGAATTTCTTCCAAATTCTGTGAAAATAAAAAGAAAATAATCAAGATTTTCCTATAAAATATTCAAATTTTTATATAAAATATTCAAATTTTGCCAAATGATACAGCTTACCGCAATTAATTGCATACTGCCACGTGTCATGTATAGGCCAATATCAAATGTGTCATTGTTAATTCGATTATTTTATCATGTTTCTGTCCTTGTAATCACGTAAGATTACTGGATAATTTAATTTCTACATTCATTTATACTATTGCTTTCGCTGTGTCCCAGGATGTGTTGTTGTGAGTACTTGGACAAGAATATACAGGCTATGTATGCCCGATATCCTAAAAACATGGGTTTTTGTAGGTACGATCTCAATCGCATCAAAATGTAATACATTTACGCGCTAATACCGTACATAAATATTTCCAGTTTTTCTGTTGTCCAGCCATTAATAGCTGGTTATTATGAAATCGTGATCAGAAATTGTGTCAATTTAAAAACTGAGACAGTAAAATCTCCTAAGTGTTTGGTGTAGAACAGTGGTCCCCAACCCCCGGGCCGCGGACCGGTACCGGTCCGTGGATCAAACGGTACCGGGCCGCCCAAGGAACATTAAATTATTTCCATTTTATTTACTATGGTGTATTTCCTCGGGTTTGTGCGACTTTTAATGGACGACGGAACAACAGAATAAACTGGACGTAAGAAACACACTTCGGGTGTCATTGTCTCCTATTACCCCTAGAGGGAACCGTCTCCTTGCAATGAAACAAGCTCAGGGTTCTCATTGATTTAGCGTTCTAGTGAATTAAAATGTTAAATCACATTATATTCATTTTTTGGTGTAACTGTATTTTATTTTGAAGGCATGTTTAAATACAATTAAATTAAAATTATTAAATTAAGTCAATCTAAAATATAAACGATCAACGTCCCCCCTCAGTGGGCCGCGGTAAAATTATCAAACTTTGACAGGTCCGCGGCGATAAAAAGGTTGGGGACCGCTGGTGTAGAATACAAAAAAGTTGCCTTAGACAATTACAATTAGCCAACTCGGCCAAAATTCAGTAAATGATTTATAGCAAATCATAGAGCAGATCTTATTCTCGATAAATAGATGGAAGCAAAGAGATCCTTACTCGAACAGAACGTACTCGCATTCTCCACTTTTTGCCATTTTACACACCTTCTGCACAGATCTAAATGTAGAAAAAGAAGGATAATTATTCATCGAAAACGTATAACTCGATTTGAATTTCGTATAAATCGTCACCTTTATATGCCGATTATATTCGTTCGTCACAGCTAAATCTAAATGCATAAATGATTCATAAGGTCATCCTCGTCTTTAATCACTTTCGTACATAACGATTTTTTCTATATTTTTATATAATTTATATTTCTATTTTAGTTGGACATACAGATAAAGGAGCCTTGCCGAAATGGATGGGAGAAGAAAATAGCCCTTACAAATATCTCGGTAAAAGCATACAAATTAGAAGTATAAATTTATTATCATACGAGATGGACGAAATTAAAGCTAAGAAGGAGACTCAACGATGGTTGAGCGGTACGTGTTTCTTGGGTATCCTTTTTTAAACAAACTAATCCTGTAACAAATAGCCTTGGTATTTGCTAATAATTGTTAATCAAAGTCTGACAAGAATCAAAAATGCACGATTGCTATCATGAATCCGTTTGTAAATATTTCAGGTAACTACACTATGTTAATTGCCGAATTTAAATTTAAACGACGTTTGACCGGTAACATGATGAATGTTTACATCCCTAGTACATTAGTGGTCATGCTATCATGGCTCTCATTTTGGATCGATGTTCACGCAGCACCAGCACGAGTAACTTTGGGTGTGACTTCAATCCTGACTTTAGTCACTCATTTGGTCCAGTCCAGAAGCTTCGTGCCTCCTGTGGATTATTTGAAGGCTCTGGATATTTGGTTTATATTCTGCATCGTTTTGATATTTTTATCTTTACTGGAATATGCTCTAGCTTACCAAGCCGCCATCAAAATGAAAGAGGTACTGTACGTTCAAATCATTTTATTACCTGTAATAAATGATATTAAAAAAGGTTGACATACACAACAGATTCTTTTAAATCTGAGTGTTAATGTAGCGTAATAAGATAATATTAGTTGTGCCTAACAAAATATTTACTGTAAAAAATTATTCTAATTCATAAATAAACAGGGAAAATTAAAAAAATAATAATTTATTTATAAAAAATTTACTATTATAATACTTTTAGAAGTTTCCTGTGTGCAGCATTAGTACTTTAACGAATTAGAAATAGTTATATTTTATTTTTATCAATACTTTCTTATGTACTTTCAGTCTAATTGTTCCAAATGCCAATACGAGTTTCCAAAATAATACCGTACAGAGAGAAAGAGAAAATAAACCACATTATACTAAAGGAAGTAATTAAATTTAAATATATAAAAATTAGAATAATAAAAAGGAAAGTAAAACGATTACATATAAAACAAGATAACGCTCTAGAAGAAGTATGGAAAAGAAAATAGAAAAAAATAAACGTAATAAGTAATGTAAAGTAAACAAAAATTTACGATATATAACATTAAAAGAAATCGTAAAAAGGAAAAAAATGAACTAATAGTTAATTAATAAGAAAATATAGAAATACTTAATGAAATCAAAGAAATCCTCTATGAAGGATTAGATTTTAATGGGTGTAGCCAATGGGACGTAATAGACGTAATACCAAAATTAGATGTAATGTGTAATAATACAAGTTATTAGATAGAGAACTGGACTATTTAAAAATGGAAGTTAATAATATAGTAAAATCTTACACTTCAAAAATAAAGGAAAAAGAAAGATTAGAGAAAAATATTACCTAAGAAATAATAATAAAATTAAAGTATTGAATAGTGTCCTAGAAAAATAATAATTAAAAATCACAAAAGCTGATAAATCTAAACAGATTATTTTTGTTACTGAGGTGTTAAATAGACAACTAGTGTTAGATAACAATAGTAAACTTAGAATGTTACCAATATATCTAATAGAAGTTATAGGAGTAGAATTAAAAACTAGAATTGATTAATAAATAACAGATAAAATAGATAAATAAAACAAATTATAATAAATATCCAGATTACTACAACGCCAAATTAAACATACAACTAAAAACACACAAGTCTGGTGGAAAAAAGACAGATTGTTGACTTTAGCTTCTCAGTTTTGTATAAGTTGAAAATTTTTTTTTTAAATATTTGAAAATATATTAAAACTAAATTTTCCAATTAAAAATGCGGATGACTTTATATGTAATTGAGATGTGTCCCCCCCATAACATGGAAAATAATTGAAAACGAAAAGGTTAATCATGCCACATCAGATAAGCCTATATCTCGCGAATGATCATATATACAGGCATAATTATAAATGAAGGCGGAATGAAGGGTATAAATGGAAATTCTTCTTGTAATGTTTGATTAAAAATGCAATTTCTTTTCGGTGCCATGATAAGTGGTCTACAAAATATAAATTAAATACAGTCGACCCCCCTATAACACGGGTTCCTATAGTTCGGATCCCTATATGACGGAAAAAATTTGCGACGGTATCCGTACAAACATGGTAA